GTGCACACTCATATACTTGCCACTTGGCATCTACAATAAATATTTGGAATATTTGCTTTCTCCTGTATCAATCCATCCATTCACCTCTCACCTACTCACTTAATCACTCACCTGTCTATTGATCCAGCTATCCATCTATCTCATTTTAAAAGGAGTCTCTAGTCTCCATTTGACAGAGCTCTGGGAGCTTAATGGTAAGGAGTTGCACAGCTAATCCAAAGGTATGTAGTTTGAATCCACCAGCTGCTCCATGAGAGAAAGAAGGACAATCTTCTGTGGGATTAACTGCCTCTGAAAACGCACTGCAGTGTCTCAGAGTAGGTTCCAACTCGGCAGTTCACAACAATGGTCTAAATTTCAGGCTTATACAGATCAATCCTGGGCTAAATGACTCTTCTTTCCTTCAGCAACAGGTACTGCTAGACACACATTCACACCTTCACACATGCACATATTTACCTCATGTGTACCTCACATGTCCACACACCACAGATGACTTACTCATGTCCCTCAATCCACACACATACTCTCTACACACACGTCACATGTGACATATACATATCACATGTATGAACAGCACACACACACGTGCACACGGACACTCCACCCCACCACTGCCCATGCATTCATGACATTGACATCCACGTGCAAAGCATGTAGGACCTTATGGAGACCCCTGACCTGTGAGTCCCACTGATCCTGACCTCCGCCCCCACCACATCTCTCCACTTTCACCAGTCTTCTCTCACCTCACAGCCACTGGAATGGATTCCTTCTGAAGCATCACTGCATCTAAGAACCACGCCCCCCAGGCTGCGTGCCCCGAAAACCCATGCCAGCCTCGTTCACCCTCATCCCGCACACTGGCACAATCACCCCTCTCTCGCTGCTGGTTGAAGAAAAAGAACAGAAGAGGAAGAAAGATGCAGGCGCTGGGTGGCCTCAGGGACATCTGTCACAAACACAGTTATGCATCCGGCTCACACACACAAGATACAGTGTGAACATCCATGCTGTGCACATGTGAACACAAATGGTGTGTACACACTCCTCTGCCGGTCTTCACACTGTCTGGACAGGTTACTTCCAAGACCCACAGCCTTTCACTGAAAACCACTGTGGCTCATCTGGTGAGGGTCAGAGGTGAGGAAGGTTCAGATGGGGTCCAGATGTGGCCCCATGTCCATGGGTTCAGGACTGGCGACTTGGTCCTGGACATCTGGGCAGCAGGAGTTATGGAGAGTCATCTGGGGTCAGACAAAACCTGAGTTTAGCCCCTCGTTCTGCCACTTAATAAATCACTGTGCATTTTCTATATATGATCCATATATGTGTTACTTAGAAACACAAATTTTCTCCTCTGTTAAGTGAGGGAGAAGTTCCTATCTCAAATGCCTCCTAACTGGACTTCTCTTAGGCAGTGCCTGGCATGCTGGAAACACAAATGGTAGCAGTGGATATTATGGTTGATGTTACTTCAAGCTTTGCCCTTTTGAGAGGGAGGGTGGTCTTGATTGGGGAGTGTGTGGGGAGGGTAGAGTAGATGGCACCCACGTGACTGCCTCTCCCAGGTACTCCCCCAAGTTCAAGCCCTCATTATCCCACATGCATATTCATGAGTGATGGCCTCAACCCTGCTCTGTAAATGGGTCAGAAGCAGGAAGTAGGGGCCAGTGCAGACATCAAGGCCCAGGGGACAGGAGGCTCCAAGCCAGAGTGTCTAAGTCTTCATGGATGGGAGGATGGTGAGTGGCAAGAATGGATTGGAGAGTATTTAGAGGGTATTGATGACTTGGGCAAGGATTTATTCCTGTATTGCAGATTTGAAAACTGGGGCCTAATGAGATCATATTAGAAAAGTGGACCAAGAGTCCTGCTTCCTTTGGAACCTGGAGAGTCTGGGCTGGGTGATAGTCACAGAGGGATGGACAGATTGACACCTAGGTGCTTCTCTCAAGGGACATAGTTTAATGGAGTTAGTTGGAAGAGTCACGGCTCTGACTGCAATCTTGCTTTTGAGAGAGTGAGAGAAGCTCCCAGAAATACAGGTTTAAGAGTGGGCAGAGACAGTGATAGGCTGGTCAGAGGACCAGAAAATGAACCCTTCTGATCTATTTCTTCATTTCATCTGACCCATAATCCCTTGAGATAGCAGAGGCAAATCTATTATCTCCATTTTACAGATGAGAAGCGTGCGGTTGAGAGAAGAGGAGTCAACAGTTCAAAGGCACACGGTGAGTTATTAGAAGCCTGAGTCAGCTCCTCCGTGTGGGGAGATGAGGAGGACGTGAGGGCCCTGCTCCTCGTGGGCACGAGTGGGCCAGGGAAGTGGCATTACAGTACTGGCTGTGAAAAATGTCATTTTGATATCAGAGGGGCCACCTCTTCATGAATGTATTCATATCAGTCGCTCCCTCCTTTTGCATAACTGTCTGCTCCTTAGAATGTTTTCTTGGTTGCTCTCCACGGAGAGGTTAAGCCGGATCACCATCCTCTCTCCAGGGAGGGCATGGAGGTAGTGGCTGGTGAAGTGACCCGCCCAGAGGGCAGAGGCTGTGCTAGAACAGGAATGTCAGGTCTGGGGCACTTTCTATTGCACAGAGGAAAGGATGGAAAGTTCAGGCCCTGGGGAGGAAATGGCAGAGGGAGCTAACCCTGGGGTGGGGAGGCTGTGACAAGGCTTACTTCAGATGACTGGGTTTGTGCTGAAGATGCCTGAGCTGGGAAATGCCTGATTTTCCTGGGCAGCTGGTCTTGGCAGCTGAGACCCTTGCTAAAGTGTAAGACACAGTTTGTCTCTTCAGTCCAATTGCTGTTCTTTTCTCTATGGTGACAATTCCTCCTATAGTATGCTCCCTAAGATCATCTTCCTCCCTCCCCCTTGCTTTTAAGAATGGTTCTAAGGGGCTCCTTCCGACAAACAGCCTTCTTTCCGCCAGGGAATTTTCCATGTCTCAAGGAGACAAAGCCTTAAGTCATAGCAGTAGAGGCATTTCAGGCATCGAGGACTGCTGAGCAGGAGGGAGGTCACAGTAGCATGAGGAAACAGGGCCTGTGGTAAATACTCAGGCATTTTATTCATTCATTCAACAAGTATTTGCTTTCTGCTAAATGCCAGACCCTAATGTATGCCTGGCTGGAGAGTGAGAGCACCAAAGGTGAATCAGTCAGTCTTTGAGAGCCTTAAAGACTAAAGGACCTAGTGCTGGGACAGACTGAACAAATTACTGGACAACAAGGTGGAACTGGGTATCGTCATCTCCATCTTCCAACAGAGGCAGTGAGATCTCAGGGACTTGCCTTGGGGTCCAAGGTCAACACCAGACCAGTGGCTTTCCACCTAGCTCTGCTGCTTGTGAGATGTACGGCTTTGAGCAGCAATAACAACCACCACAGTAATCAGTCAACATGTTTTCACTGCTTAGTTTATGTATAACAAATTACTTCTCTGAGCCTCAGTTTCTCTACACATAAATTAGAGTGAGGGAATTCATCTACTCTCAGGGTGGTCAGGGATTTGAGTGGGACTATGCGGGTGCAAGAGTTTTACACATTCTTGAGTTCTGTGGTGATCATAGTGATTTCTGAGACCACAGTAGAAACACACATTGATCTGGAAACACAAGGGAAGCAGGAAAATATTCCTGCTAAAGGGGTATAGTGTGTAGGGAGTTGAGGCACTAACTCTAGGGGCCACCTCTCTGGAGGTTCAAATCCACCAGAGGCTCTGCAAGAGGTGACTGAAAGCCTCTTGAAAACCCATGGAGGGTTTGAGTTTGAATGGAGCCAGGGAATGATTTAGGGTAGGCTAGGGCTCTCTTCACCAGGAGGACACAGGATGTGAGTAGGGTGCAAAGGGAGCAGGAAGGACTTTTTGGAAGGAAGGCACTGTGTGGGCGAAAGTGTGGAGGAGGGAAAGTGTGGGGTGTGCTTGTGGAACAGGCCCTGCACCATTAATAGCTAAACCTGGAGCCCAGTGAATCACCCAATGATGCAGTCAAGCTGGATTTTTGGCCTCGAAGCCATCTTTGAAGCATCCAAACTTCCTTCTCTAACATTATCATTTCTAGAGGGTGAAGGAGGGGTGAGGAGTGGAGGGCTAACTGACATTAATTACCTGCCTATTAAAGACTGAAGAGTAAATACCCTCTAAGTACCCAAACAAACCTGTGGGGGTAGGAGGCTGGCAGGAATGTGCCCCACCTACTAGCCTGAGCTCTTAAGCCAGGGGTCATAGGTAGAGTATCCTGGAAGCACTGAACTGCCAAGTGGGTCGTGTGCATCTTGTAGCCTAGGAAGGACAGGTTGCCAGGAGTGAGCAAGGTGTGAAGAATGGATAGATGGGAGGATGGGGCTGAAAGAGGGTAAAGCTGGGGTCTTAGAGAAAACAGGCACAGCACAGAACTCACATCTGTCAAGCACCCACTTTGTAGTCTCCCATTTACCCCTTTAACACCCAAGAGAAGTAGGTACGATACTCTCAATTTACAGATGGGGAAACTGAGGTTCTGGAAGTGAAGTGACTTCTCTAAGGTCTTATCACTCCACACTTAGGTATTGAGCACAGGCTCGGAGCCAAGGAGTTGCCAGTCTGAGGCAACGCCTTCTTGGCCTCTGCCCTCAGGGCTGACAAAAGTCATGGGGTCATGCTATGGCCCTCCCCTCCCCTCCCCTCGAATCTAGGTCTCGTTAATTCCAAACCTATGCTTTGGATAAGGACACGAGTCTGGACCTGAAATGGGTTGGGCTGCAGGGTCTGCGGGGTTCGTCAGAGGTCTGTCCATTCCCTTTTTCACAGCCCAGTCCTGTGCACCTGCCCCAGGTGATCCCGGGGAGGCGCCGAGCAGCCACGGAAAACCCCGAAGAGCTTCGGCAGGTGGGGCGGGGCTGCCCCTCCCCGCGGACGTGGGCGGGGCCAGCGGGGCGAGGGCGGGGCCAGCAGGGGCGGGGCCAGCCCCTTGCCCCGAGCCCCGCAGATCTGAGGCCGCAGCGTCGCTCCGGGGCCCGCGTGCAGCCGGCATGGGTGCCTGCCTGGGAGCCTGCTCCCTGCTCAGCTGCGTGAGTCTCACCCCACACCCTGGCCGCCCGCGCCGCTGGCCGCTGGTTCGGCCTCGCACTTTTTCTTAGCTTCTTCCTCCAAATAGTTTCTTCTCTTTCCTTCTTACAGACTTGTCTTTAGGGACCCGCGCTCCCTCCCAGACTTGGTACCCTTTTGCGCTCCTTCTGGGCTGTCTGGGGACAGCGCCCTGGGCAGCTGGTGTCCAGGGTTCGGGTTACCGCGGGGGAGGGGTTGGGACAGAAGGAGGAGGGGAACGTACTGGGCGGACGCTTCCCGGAGATTGGGGACCCCGAGACCCAACGCCTCTGGTGGGACAGTGCCGAGGCCCCAGCCCTCTCTGCAGCCCCACATCCCGCAGCGCCCGACTTGAGTCCGCGGAGTGCGCCTTTTCTGGTCTCTGCTGCCCTGGCGCTCCGGCTCTTTGTGTCGCCAGCCGGGTCCCTCTGCCCCGGTGCCCTTTGGCGTCCCGTCTCCCTGCCTGACTTACTTTCTGTTCGTATTTGTCTGCTTTCTGTCTCTTGTCTGTTGGTCTCGCTGATCGTCTTTGTTTGTCGCCTTTCCGTCTGTCATTGTCTGCCTCTGTGGTTCTGTCAGTTCATCTTTCTCCGTGCGTCCTTGTCTCTGTGCCATTCAGTCTGGCTCACGCTGACTCCTGGGCACCTCTCCAGCTAGCCCCAGACCCTTCCCTTCTGGAGCTTAGATGGGGTGGGGAGGAGCCCCCATTTGATCTTTCTCTGTCACCTTTGGGTGAGGTTGGGGCAGGTGACTAGTTATTACCTGGACTAACTGGGTTGGGAGCACAGGAATTTGGGGAAGAGCTGGAGTTGGGGGTGACTGGTTGCCTGCAGAAAGGAACCTCAAGGGGGGCCTCCCGCCTCGACTTTGGGGCTGCAGCCAGCACAGGGGAGGGGCTTCAAGCAGACCCGGCTAGGAGGCCCCTGCCTTTCCCTTTTCCCAGCCTCCTCTTTTTCCTGTTTCCCTCATTAAATCTTTCTGAGGTTCTTTCAGGCAGCCCCTCCTCCTCTGGCTCTACACAAAGAGGAGCAGAAAGGGAGAGGGGGTCCTGTGGCTCAATCTTAGGACTTGCTTTCTTTGTCCTGGTTTGTATGTGTGTGTGTGTGGGGGGGGGTGGTCTGGGAGCAAGGGAACTGGAGTTTCATCAAACAGCCCATTCCGAAGGTGCGATCTATACAGAAGAGCGCAAAATGGGCCCCTGGACCAGCCTCTTATTCCTTCTGGACCTGTGTTTCTCTCTCTGAAGTGTGGATGTGGGGGGTGGGGGAGGAGGCATCAGTGCTGCTGCTCTGAGGTCCCTCTGGCTACGAAGTCCATAGAGAATTGTGCTGCTAACCCAATGGCAGAACTTCTCCAGCTGCTCCGAGGGACTGAGATGGGCAGGCTCCTTCCATGAGATTTGGAAACCACTGGAGGGCCAGTCAGCTAGGAATCGTAACTGACCAGATGGCAGAGAGCATTTCCACCCATTTGATTAGAGTTTCTTCTGGTTGGGTCTGCTTGGGGCAACCTGCCAATCAACAGGGAAGACCTGCCAATCCCCTGTACCTCCACCTCCCCATCTGTAGGCTGCATGCAGTATTAGCCCATAATGCTGTTGGGAAGGTAAAGTGCCCAGTAGTCACCAAGTGAATGCTCATTAGAACAGGAACTATTGTTACTCTCATCTTGGGAACAGTGGGTGGAGAATTCCCAGTGAGTCAGAGAATCCTACTGTCAGAGAGACTATGAGGCACCTGGCAGCCTGCACACACCCTCGTTTTTATTGATGAGGAAGCTTGGGCCCAGAGAGGTTATCTAACTTGCCTAAGGATGCACAGGGAAGGATGGGAACTTGTTCAGGATTGACATTGAGCCCCTGGTTCAGGCGTCTGTTTTCACCTCCTTTTCTCCCCCACATCCTGGATGCCCGAGGGATTGGCCTGGTCCATGGTAGAACTGAGAGTTACTGAGTGCCTTTCTCTTGAGGTGCCCACCTCTGTCCTTTTCTGAGCCCCTCCTATAGGTCAAGTCTCCCTTTGGATTTTTCTCCAGGCCAGTGGCATTACAATATCATTTGCTGTGTCCTTCTGACAAATCCAGCACTCACAGCCTAGGGCTGTAGTCAATCTACTGTGTGTGTGTCCTTTCACTTATTTCTTACAACCACCAACCCCAGAAGCAGTTAATCTCATTTTCACTTATCAGATAAGAAAACTGGATCAGAGAGGGCAGCTGATTTCCTCATACACCAACCTCCTCCTCCCCCCCCAACAAAACCTAATCCACTTCCTTCAGGTTGGTAAGGACTCATGGAGACCCTCCACTGGGTTTCAGAGCCTGCCTCACCTTTTTCCTATGGAGTGGCTGATGGATTCTAAACACTGACCTTTCTGTATGTAAGTAGCCCAACATGTAGAGCCTAGTGCTCGTATGGGAGCTACTGTTACAATCATGTGGGTAAAGAATTCTCAATCATGGAACCCTACAGTGGCACCTGACAGCCACACAGTGTTAAGTGTGAAATTGAGTGCTACTGGACATCAAAAGCACCCTGTTTCATTGGAGATTTGTCCCAGAGGGATGACCTTCTAATGAAGGGTTCCCAGGCATTGTTAGGATAATATTTTTTGGATGCTAGGTCAGTGAGGAATATTTTGAAACCTTCCCAGCCACACCCTGTTTACATTGGCCTATTGTGCCTATTGGTCGGTTTTTGTATTGGGCTGAAACCAAGCCCTGTGGACGTTGGAAGATAAGATGGGCCCTAATAAGAGATAGCATCCTCTGATGCTAGTTACTGGCTGGAGGGTCAGCTTTCTTATATTTAGTTGTTGTTATGTGCTGTCGAGTCGCCTGCGACTCATAGTGACCCTATGAACAACAGCCCTAATCCTGTGCCAATCTTACTGTCTCTGACACACCTGCCCCCATTACCCCAGTCACTGAATCAGTCTATCTCATCGAGGGTCTTCCTTTCCTGCACTGTCCCTTCACCCTCCCAAGCATGACATCCCTTTCTAAGGATTGATCCCTCCTTGCAAGGTCAGAGGAACCTTCAGAATCTTTACCTCTAAGGAGAAGCTTGGTTTCACCCTCTCTAGGATGAACTTGTTTGTTCTCTTATATTTAGAGAGCACCTAAATATTTAGGCCTGTAAATATGAAGGGGGCTTGGGTTGGCTGCACTAGGCTTGAATCCTAGTGTGTGCCTCTTTTCAGTGTGTGACAATATGCTGCCACTTTGCCTCTCTGTCCCTCTGTCTCCTTGTTCATGGAGGTAACAGTGACACATTCCTCTTGGAATGCAGTGAAGATGAAGTGGGCACACTAAGATGCTTAGCACAAAGTTGGCATGTGTTAACCTTTCCATAAACATCCCATAGTGGTAAACTGCATGAGAGACCGCATAGGAAGTAGTGGTGGAACCCAGGGCTGTGTGACCACAGAGCCTGGGCTCTGAATCTGAGGTCCTGCCTCAGATACCCATTTTACAGGGGAGGAAACTGAGAACGAGGACCTGCATTCTTCATACTGCGTAGGAAAAGTAAGTGTGTATGGAGTAGTTTGGGGCTGATTTCTCTGTTTTATTTCTAGTCCTGGGAAACTCATCCACTTGTTATGTGCTGTCGAGTCACCTGTGGCTCATAGTGACCCTATATACAAGGTGAAATCAAGTATCTCCTTGGAGGCTAGGATTTTGAAGCTCTGACTCCCATACTTTGGGCACGTGGCCAAGAGGGACCTTGGAGAAGGACATCATGCTTGGAAGGGTGGAGGGACAATGCAGATAGAAGAAGACCCCAGGTGAGGTGGATTGATACAGTAACTGGGGTAATGAAGGTAGGTGTGGCAGAGTCTGTGAGACTGGCTTGGGATAGAGCAGGCTTTAGAGCTATTATACATAGCAGTGTTGCTATGAGTCGCAGGCAACTTGATGGCACATTATAACAACAAGGGAGAAGGATTGGTCTTCCACTTTGGAAATAACAGACCTTCGAAAACTCTATGTACAGCCACTTAGGGGTTGTTTTTAAAGTCTGCAGGGCACATCCCATCCTTACATAGGCCAGAAGAGAACTCTGGCCCTAGCCTTCAATCCTTCCAGCTGTTGAGCCATTGTTGTTGTGTGTCATCGCATCAGAATGGACTAGCAGCTGATCCTCCAGTGGGTTTTCAGAGGCGGTAAGTTGCACTGGAGGAAATTGCCCATCCTCTTGTGAAGCAGCTGGTGAATTCAAACTGTGTGTCTGTGAGATTGCAGCACAGCTTCTTACCACTAGGCCAACTGAGCCATTAGTAATTCTAGTAAATATCTCCTTGGCCCAAGGGCCAACCAAGAGTGAGTATAAACTGCTCAGTGATAACCTGTTCCTACAACCCAGACGACTCACGTTGCCCAGAGCTGTCTGGCAACCACACAGTGTGCCCTGGGAGATAGTGAGAGCCACATCCGGGTGGTGTGCAAGCTGCAGAGGATGACGAGCTGTCTTCCTGGTGGTTCTTCACCAGAGGGGAGCAGGACACGCTGGATATCCAGGAACCTTGCAACGCTAGGACTCTGGCTAAGACCCAGGGCTTCGTAAGTCCTGTGAGCTCTCCGTTCCTGGGCTCAGCCACTGTGAGTGTCCTTGTGGGTTACCACTGAGACTTCTCCCCAAGTCTCTCTATTTTTTTTGGGAGAACATAGAGAGGGAGAGTGGTTGTGTTCTTAGTGCAGGAGCGGGTCTCTGGTCTGCCCTGAGGCTAGTTCATGTTGCTACAGAGGCTGGTGACTTTCGTCTTTCCTGAGAGATGATGTTCATCTTCCGCAACATCCCATGGAGTAAAACGGCCACCAGTGTCCCCATCTGTCGGACATTTAAGTTTTTGTTGTTTTTTTGAGATCGTAGTACATTCATAGAACTTAATGTTTTGTGTCTAGTTTTCTTTTGACTTAAAAGATGTAAAAATCTTCCACTTTTTTGCACTTATGGAACCATAAGTGAATAGACTGAGGTATCATTGCCACATAACAAAATGCACCTATTTTAAGTGTAACCTCCACATCTCTGTTTGGCAGAGAATTCCCTGTTATATGAGCACTGAGATGTATCTGACAAGCATTTAGTTCTTTTTCCCCCCTGCTGTTTCCTTGTTGTGAACACAGCCACAGAGGACTTCCGGGTATGTGTGTGCATGTGGACACGTGGCCGTCCTCTGTCCCATGGGCTGGGATTTCTGGGGGAAGAGGCTCTTGTAGGTTGGAGCCCCATAGGTGAAGTAAGGGGGTCAAAGTATCTGAATGTTTCTAAGGAGGCCCAGTGTCCCTCTGGAAGCAGCTGGGAGCAAGTGTGTATTTTTTCTCTTCTTGGCCTGGCCTTTTCTGGCTGCCAGCCAGGCCCTTGGAATTGCTGAGGTTTCCAGTGTCAGGAACACCTGGATTTTGATCTCCAAGAACTAGGGTGAACTGAAAGGCCCAGTTCCCAGCTTTGCCTTCATCTCAAATATCCCAAAGGGAAATTGTAACAATCTGGAGTCAGGGCTTCACCTGGTCACCCAGGTGCCCGGCTGTAAGGAGCAATGACTTTTGAGCCTCCTCGATATTCTCTGTCCTTGGAAGGGTTACTTTGCAGTCGGAGTGTTTTCAAACTAAGTGAGATTTCTTCTAACATAGTCTGTGGGATGTTGAGCTGCTGACCCAAAGACCACACCTCTCTGGTGGTCTGAATCCTCCAGCAGATTTGAAGAAGTGGAGCCATCTGTTCTTGTGTGATTTTCAACCTCGGGAACCCGATAGAGGGTCAGCTATGATTCGATGCCAGTGCAACAGCGATGAGATTGATGAGATCTTTCAGTGAATTAGTGTGGTGAGAGGTACAGACAGACCTGTACCTCCCCAGCTTACTTGCTATATGACCTTGTCCCTGCTACCTCTCTGGGACTGAGTTTACCTACCTGTAATAGCACTTATTTCATAGTGTCAGTGAGACTTACTATAGAGCAAATGTTTACCACAGTGCATTTGGTGACCCCAAGGGTTACCAAGGGCTAACCCTTGGTGAATGGTGGTGACCACTATTATTATTATCATCAGCACTGCTGTGTGCTCTCTGACAAGTTTCTTGGCTTCTCTGGTCTCAGTTCTGATCTGTAGAGGGGGAATGGTACTTGCATTATCTCATACGTAGAATGTTCTTTATGGTTACAGAAAACTTTCCCAGTGTTCTATAAACATTTGCTTATCTTCTCACCTCCAAATTGTGGCCATGGGTAGGAGGCAGGCTTGAGGTCAGGTCAGGGGTGGCAGGATGAAAGAAAGGCCCTGTTTTCATTTGGGCCATGAGGAATCCTTCAGCCCACATTTGATTGTGCATCCATGCTGTGCTTGGCATTGTGGGTGATAGAGAAATGGGTCAAGAGCTCCTGGGTTGTTTCTAGTCGAGGGAAGCAGTGATGGAGGAGGGAAGGCGACTCCACCCCAGGTCAGACTGTGCTGTTTTGTGCCATTCCAGAGAGCTGTGGGCTTCAGATGAGCAAGAGGCTATGTTAGCATGCTCTCTACAAGCCGATTTTTTTAAAAAAATATAAAACAATTCCTGTTCTCCTGTCTTAAAACTCTCATGCGGTCACCTCCTGCTCCTGGATGAAAACCAGGGTTCTGTACATGCTGTCAAGCCAACCTGTCCCATGTCACTGTTCACTGCCAGCCACCAACTACCTGCCCACAAAGGTTTTGCCACAAGATCTTTTTCCTGTTCCCCAAATGCCTTAGCCTCCCACCCAGAGCCCCTTCAAGCTTTGCTCTGTCTTCTGGAACACTCTTCTTCCTCTTTTTGTCTGGCAGGCCCCTCTTCTGTTTTGGGTTCTCAACTTAAATGACACTTCTTTTGGGGGGCTGTCCAATTTAATTGAGGCCTCCCCGATTAGTTCATCTCCCAGCAGTGTGTCCATTTTATTATGACATTTGTTTAGTGTATTTCCTGCCCATGGAAGCTCTGGAGGGCAGGCCCACAGTCTCTTGCTCTCCAGACCCTTAAATAAGCACCCAGTGAGGAGTGTGTTTGTTTGAGGAAGGTGGTTTCCTCAAAGGCTGAGCTGGGGAGCCACATCCCAGAGGCCCAAGTCTGCTTTTTGGGGAAGTGTGGGTAGTGAGTACCCCACTGTGGGTAGTGTGGCAGGCAATCCTAACCAATTAACTGCCTGCCAGTTAGTTACCACAGTGCCCACTTGTGGGACAGTGTAGAAGACCCCAGGCGGTCCCCAAGGTTGTAATCTTTGGAAAAGGGACTGCCACACCTTTGTCACAGAGTGGCTGGTGGGTTATAGCTACCTTCTTTTCAGTTAGCAGTGGACAAGTTAAGCCACCAGGGTTCCTTGGTGTGGCATTACCAATCTTCAATATGAATCGAAGCTCAACATCAAGAAAACAAAGATTCTCACCACTGGGCCAATTATGGATGGTGACGAGATTGAGATTGTTAACAGTTTTAGTTTGCTTGGTTCCACAATCAACATGATTGGTACCAGCAGTCAGGAAATAAAGAGACAAATTGCATTGGGAAAGTCAGCTGTCAGGGACCTCTCCAGTGTACAGAGGAGAAACGATGTCAGGCTGGAGACTAAGGTGCACCTGATCTGGGCCATAGTCTTTGCAGTTGTGTGCTATGCATCAGAGAGCTGGACAGTGACTAGGGATTATAGAAAGAGAATTGATGCCTTTGAGATGTGATGCTGGAGAAGAGTGTTGAATATACCATGGACTGCTAGGAGAACAAACAGGTTTGTCCTAGAGAGGGTGAAACTGGGTTACTCCTTGGAGGCAAGGATTCTGAAGCTCTTGCATGTTGCAAGGAGTGACCAGTCCTTGGAGAGGGACATCATGTTTGGGAGAGTAGAGTGACAGTGCAAGAGAGGAAGACCCTCCATGAGACGGATTGATTCAGTGATTGGAGTAATGGGAGGAAGTGTGTCAAGAGACAGTGAGGTTAGCACAGGATCGAGCAGGGTTTAGGGCTCTTGTTCATAGGATCACTACGAGTCGCAAGTGACTCGAGGGCACATAACAACAACTACAAATTATTCCAGTTAGTGGAAGAGATGAGACCAGACACTTGCTTAGGCTAAGGAGTCAAAAAACCACCTTAAACTCATTTCCATCAAGTCTGAATCGACTCACAGGTGACCCTCCAGGGGGGTTTCAGAGGCTGTAAACCACACAGGGGGAGATTGCCTTTCTCCCTCAAAGCTTTCAGTGGATTTAAACCACCAGGAGGCATCTCCTTTGGGAGAAAAGGGCTACATCACCACCTACTGTCCAAAGCTGGTAAAACGCCTGAGAGGAAATGATTAGCTGTCCTTCCCAGAAAGGCCTGGATGGAATTCACCAGCTGCTCTGTGGAGAATAGGCAATCTCCTTGTGATTTATAACCTAAAAAAAGCTCTCATGACTGTCATCTATAAATTGGTTCTAGCTTGACAGTAAGGAGCTTTCAAAAGAAAGATTCCACAGTGAACAAAACTGACAAACATCCCTGCCCTGTAGTTATTAAACCAGAATGGGGAGGCAGATAAAGATATATAAAATATGCTGTGTCTCATGATAAGAAGGTTGAAGACAGTTTCAATCTCTTCTCCATCTATCATGATGTTGCCTATTGGTCCAGTGGTAAGAATCTTTGTCTTCTTTAACCCTCTACAACAATTGCTTCAAGTCCTCCTCCGTTTAGCAAGCAAGACTGTGTCATCTGCATAACGCAGGTTGTTGATGAGTCTCCCTCTGATACCTATGCCACATTACTCTTCATAAAGTCCAGTTATTATAAATTCTTACAACTGTTTAATTTGGTTGTAATTTGTAGAGTTGTGCCACTAACCTAAAAGTGGTTCCCCTCTGGTGGTTCGAATTCACCAGATAGTTGTGTGATTTACAGCTTCCAAAAACCTTCTGAAGAGTCAGCTTTGAGTCAGTTTCCATTCTATGGCAATGAGCTTGAGGAAGGTTGTTTTTTTGGTTTTGTGTGTGTGTGTTTGTTTGTTTGTATGTTTTCCCTGTGGGAAGTAGTTGCTCTTATGTTTTCATTTTATAGGGAAGGAAACAGATTAAGAGAGGTTAAATAAATTGTCCAAGTTCACACAGCTAGCAATGAAAGAGCTAATCTCTGTGTGTGTATGCATGCATGTATGTATGTATAAAGAAGAAGCACTGTGACACTCCCCTCACCCACACCCCTCAAGCTCTCTCTAAGTCCCTATAACATGGTTTGATTCTGGCTTCTGCTCCTCCCTGGCTCTGGGGTGCTGTGTGACCCAGTCTATCTCTCTGAGACCTGGTTTTCTCATCTCATCCCCTTGCTGTGGGCTCTAGGGTTAAACAGTAACATGTGTGCTCTGCCCCCTTGCAGGCATCATGCCTCTGTGGCTCTGCCCCCTGCATCCTATGCAGCTGCTGCCCCTCCAGCCGCAACTCGACTGTGAGCCGCCTCTTCTTCACGGTCTTCCTCTTCCTGGGGGTGTTGGTGTGCATCATCATGCTGAGCCCGGGCGTGGAGAGTCAGCTCCATAAGGTGAGTGGGGAGGTCAGGAGCGGGGAAGACTCCCTCTGCAGGGCCAGCCTCTGGTGAGGAGTTAGCTGCTCCAGGCCACAGAACCTGTGCTGGGGTCACAGCTAATCAAGAGCTGGGCATGGGATGTCCCAAGTATTGGTCTAATAACATTCTGTGCTTCTGTCCTGTCTCCTATTTAGCTGCACAGTGTCTTGGGTCTTTCAAGCTTGCAAGCAGCTATTCAAGGCACAATAATTTGCCTCTATTCACCTGAAGCAGTAGAGGAAGGGGAGTCAGGAATAAGAGGAGGATATGGAATATATGGCTAACTTCATCCATGAACAACGGCCTCCTCTGCCATAAAATCAGAACAACTGGATTATGCCTGGCTCCCATTACTAAATATTTAAAGAGTTTAAAGAAGAATCTTAATCAAAAGGGGAAGAATGCGGAACAAAATTTTAAATTCTCATGAACTTTAGATTTTCTAGGGCCATGAGGTGGGTGGATGAACTCCTGAAACCATTGCTCTGAGATAATCTTTGAGCTGTAAACCAAAAATATGCTCTAATTCAGAGGGCAGAGCAGGACTCTGGTTCCTTTTAGGAACATAGTGATGAACACATGACATTTGTACAGAGTTCTGGAAGTCCACAGGTTGTGGATCTGTAAAAGGCAACCAGTGTGGGGCTCGAACTCACAACTCTGAGATTAAGAGTCTACAGACTGAACTAATGGTAGCAGGTCACCATTAAAAACTCAGCCGATTAGGGACCAGGGAGTTCATGTTCAAGAGAGAGGAATGATTCAGGAACGGAAGGTGAAAATGAGTGTTCTACTTGAAGGATGTAGTCAGTGTCACTAAATTGCACGTAGAAACTGTTGAATTGTGCATTATGGTGTATATTCTTAACAACAACAAAATCAATAAAATTGAAAGACATGAAAGAAGGGGTGACCAGGAGTGTTGGGACACATCCATGCTCCAGGTCCAAGGTTGGTGATGGAGGTGTTTATGTGTATAGGCAGGTGTTTGAGCATCATGTGGGGATTCTTGTTCTTGTAAACTGTAGTTTTCCTGGAAAATCTTATTATGTGGCTTCTTTAGACACCAACAAGGGCCTGTTTCCCCCTCTAATGCTCATACACTGTTTGGCATCCCCCGCTCTTCTCTTCATCTCAGTGTGTAGACACGCAGCATTCAGGTCCATGGTTTACCTATTTCCTGTGTGTGAAGGTATGAATCACCTGGGAATTGGTTAGAAAGGCAGATTCTCAGACCCAGCTTGACCAGTTATTGTGGAGTCAACTCTGATTTACAGGCCCCAGGTGTGTCTGAGGAGAACTGTGTGCTCTGTGGGGTTGTCAGTGGCTGGGTTTTTTTGGGTGTAGATAACAAGGCCCTTTTTCCAAGGTGTCCCAGGGCGGACTTGAACCTCCAGCTTTTCCGTTTGCAGTGAGGATCTCTTGAGTTTCCCAGGCTCCTTAGGGGGTCCTGATGTAAGGGGTAGGTGAGCAGCACTCTAGAGAAATCTTCATTTAGACAGTGCAATGTGCTGCTGAGATTATGGGATGAAGGCAGGGAGGTAAACAAGATATAACCCGCTCATCTGTCTCTGGTGGGGATTTCGCTCCTCCAGTTTCAGCTTGGGAGACAGGTGGGGACTCCGGTGATGGAAAGGGAGATGGAGGGGCGATGGGGAGAAGGCAGCGTGGGTCTCCAGCTCACACAGAGCCGGGAGGGTTCTGTGTGGAGCGGGCTTGTCAGCTTGCTCCATCTGTCTCTACAGCTGCCTTGGGTGTGTGAAGAGGGTGCCAAGAACCCCATCATCCTGCAGGGCCACATCGATTGTGGCTCCTTGCTCGGCCATCGCGCTGTCTATCGAATGTGCTTCTCCACAGCCGCCTTCTTCTTCTTCTTCACTCTGCTCATGATCTATGTGCGCAGCAGCCGGGACCCCCGGGCTGCCATCCAGAATGGGTGAGGACAGAACTCCTGGGTCCCCCTCCTCTCTTTGGTTCCAGAGACACCCCCCCTTCTCCCAGATAACACCCTCAGACTCACCAAAACCAGGAGAGTGCAACCCAGAGGTCAGCTCATTCAGTTATTCCCATTTCTCAGATGAGAACAATAAAGCTCAGAGATGGCAACAACTCATGTAAGGCAACATAGCACTTTAATGCCACATTTGGGGCCAAGGGCAGGTGATCCTTCTCACCCCTGCTCTGGCCCCCCTTCTGCCCGTGAGGATGGTTCTAGGATGAGGACACCTGTCTATGTCCAGCAGACAGTCAGATAGACCCTCTTCACCTCTCCAGCTACCTGTTCCTGGGCTGCAGTCTTGGGAGCCAGGCCTGGTGTGGCCTCAGGTTCCCCTCTTCCAGCTCAGTCCGATTCTCCATTCCTCCTCTGTCATCCCCCCTCGACCCCGTAGGTTCTGGTTCTTTAAGTTCCTGGTCCTCGTGGGAATCACAGTGGGTGCCTTCTACATCCCTGACGGCTCCTTCTCCAACAGTAGGTGGCCTTGGGGAGTGGGAGGTGGGGTTCTAGGTGTGCAGCATTGGTGGGGGCTGCCCTGGCACACAGCTCCTGGGTGGCAGGCTGTGTCCTCATCTTCCACTCACTGCTCAGCCACACAGCACCTCAGGATGGGGTGGGGAACTGTCTTAACTTCATCTCTCTATGCTGCATGGCCCGTGCACGGCTGAGGGCTCCCTGAGGGCAGGACTTTGGCTGCGACCATGGAATGAATAAATGTGTCTAAGAGGGACGCCATGGCATGTGTGTCTGTCCCAAAGCCTGACGGTGCCCAGGCTGCTGCCCCTCACAGGGGACCTCCTGGCCTCACTCTCTGCTCCCCACCCACAGTCTGGTTCTACTTTGGTGTCGTGGGCTCCTTCCTCTTCATCCTCATCCAGCTGGTGCTGCTCATTGACTTTGCGCACTCCTGGAACCAGCAGTGGCTGTGGAAGGCTGAGGAGCGTGACTCCCGCGCCTGGTACGGAGGTCAGTGCCAGCTTGCCAGCCTCCACATGGGAGGGTGTGGACTCAGGGCGGGTTCTGAGCTACCTGAGGGACTCGGGGGCAGGATGGCGGAAGTTAAATGAGAGCCAGGAAGGTGTCTAGAGTGGCCTCTGTCTTTGGGCAGAAGATGAACTAAATGTCCAGGGAGATGGAGAGAAACTGGGCAGGGGAAGAGGGGACTGAGAGGACCAGGAGGAGCCACCTGGAATGACCTGAGGGGTCATCTAGTCCAGGAACAAGACCCTTTTAGGGGTACCCAATGTGTAATTGGTTCGTTCTTGGCTATGATAGAAAAGTTGGGAATTGAGACCTACCCAAGTGCAGGAAGGGCTGGTGATTTGCTTTCATAAAGATTATGGTCAAGAAAACTCAATAGAGCAGCTCTATCCTATAACACGTGGAGTCGCTGAGAGTCAGCATTGACTCGATGACCTCAGGATGATCCCAGAGGAGGTGAGCGAGCGAGGGAGCGAGTGAGAGAGAGTGTGTGTATGTGTGCGTGTGTGCACAGGAGTGACACTTCAAATGACACCTGATCACTGAACATCAACGACGGAGTCTCCTCCCCAGTTGCCTCCGTGTTGTTAGCCCCTGACAGTGTGTGCTGCCCCAGAGGGCTTCGTGCACTGCCATCTTCATATGAGACGTTCACCAGGTCTTTCTCCTGTGGAGTGATTGGGTGGGTTTGAACGGATAACCTTTCAGGTAGCTGCCATCCTCAACTATTATATTTCCAAGCTCCTCCTATTCCTTTGGTTTCATTTTAATAAGACTGTTAGCTGAATTTTTTTTTAAATGGATGCCTTATTTATAGCAAAAGAGTACTAGTGGCGCTGTACTTAATACAGGCGGCAAGTGAAAACCTGGCTATCGGAATCTGCCAGTTGCTTCTTGGGAGAAAGACAGGTCATCTCCTCCTGTAAAGATTTACTGTCTTGGAAACACAATAGAGAGGATTGCTCCATGTTGGAAGTGATCAACAGTTGTGAGTTGTTTGTGTGTAGTATCTGAGACATTATGGTCCAGGAGTTCAGTGGACGGGGCAGGAATCACAGGGGTGCTGGTGAATAACTGAAGGCCTGGAGAGGAAACGAGGCCTTGGAGAGGGGTTAGGGCTGCGTCCTGCCTCCCGTCCCATGCCCGCTGTCCCTCCCGCCCAGGCCTCTTCTTCTTCACCTTCTTCTTCTATTCACTGTCCATTGCGGCGCTGACACTGCTCTACATCTACTACACCCACCCCGGTGCCTGCCATGAGAGCAAGGTCTTCCTCAGCCTTAACCTCACCTTCTGCTTCTGTGTCTCCATCATCGCCGTCCTGCCCAAGATCCAGGTGAGCCTGCCTGTCCCTGCCTGGTGTGGGGGACCCCTCTTGGGGACTCCAGAGTCCTGGCCAGGGGCTCCCAGTCGCAGAGACTTGGGTTCACAGGGTGGGCTTTCAAGACAGCCTCCCCAGATTACAGTCTCTTGCATCTACATGCTGGCTAGCTTTAGGAAAGTGTCTTAACCTATCTGTGCCACTTTTCTTTAATGTAAAAGAGGGGCAATGCTAATATACTCTCTGGAGTTGTCAAGATGGACATCATATTTGTAAAGCCCTTAGAACAGTGAAAGGCTAATAGATCCCAATCAGACGTTGGCTGCTGTGACCACTGTTGTTTCTGTGGGAGTCAGGAGAAGGTTAGGAGAGTCGCCGAGTGACTTGAGTGGTGGTGTGGAAGGTGCAATTCCATGAAGCCCAGTCCGGGAGCAGCTGGTATAAGGAGCTGCTGCTCCTGAAGTTACTGTCTTGTTCAGAGAGTCTCAGGAATCCAATGGCTCATCACAGTTTGGCCACCAGGGGTTTTCAGGTAGTTTAGCTTAGTCTTTGGGGCATCAGAGTGGAAAGGTAGGAGATGACCCTTCTGGTCCATTTCCTAGTGTGAAAACTGAAGCCCAGAGAGGGTTGCCTCGGGTCACAGCACTTTGTGTTCATTCAGCAAAAACCTTTTGAGCACTTCTGAGCACCAGACTCTCCTCTAGATGTTGGAGATACAGCTGTGAGGTGGAGAAGGGGAAGGAATAGCAACAGGTAAGGGTGATTGGCATCTCTTGTGTCATTTAGTCCACACACCACTTTACAGATGAGCAAGCGGAGGCTTAGGGAAGTAAAGAGACTCGCTGGAGTTACTCAGCTAGTCAGGAGGGGCCTGGGATTTGAACCCGGGCAGGCTGACTCTAGAGCTTGATTCTTAATCCCAACATTTGGGTTTGCATATTTCACTATGTGTATCGTCAGGAGCAAGTGTGGACAAAGCAATAAGGGTATGACAGACAGGGGAATTTTGGATAACAGGAACCCTGGTGGCCTGGTGGGTAGGACATTGCACTGTCAACCTGAGGGCTGGCAGTTTGAATCCACCAGCTGCTCAAGGAAGAATGATGGGAAATCTCCTCCCATGTGATTTATAACCTCTGAAAACCTATGAATTGGTTTGGACTCGATGACAATGAGTTGTTGTGGTGTGTTTTGGTTTGTGGATTTTTTGTTTGTTTGTTTGTTTTTCAATATGGGCAATAAAAGGATGTGACCTTAGGGTACATGGGAGGCAGGGGAGGGACCCTCTGGCCTCATTAAGAGTCCATTGTGAGCTGAGTGCTGGATACGGAAGAAGACCTGCCTGCTTGGAGGGACAAGTCAGGGAGGAAGCATAGCAAGTACAAAGGCCCCGAGGTGGGAAAGCTTGGGTGGGTTCTGGGGAGAGAGAGCACCATGGCTGGAGTGTGGCCGGCAGGGAGGATCAGGAGATCAAGACAAGGACAGTCCAAGGAGGCTGTACTCTGAGTGTGACGAGACTCCACCCTGAGGGTCCTCAGGGATGGATGTGGGAGTAATTCAACAGGAGGCTAGAAGAAAGGAGAAGGAGAATCAGAACTTTACCTTTGGGTAGACAGGGTGAGAGTGGGCGGCCTGGTTGTTGTGGCTCCCCAGTGGGGTAGGTGGGGGAGAGTTCGGAATGGTCTCCGATTGGGAGCGGGTGGGGGCAGGCGAGGTGTCCCTGTCCCTGGCAGGGGTCTTACTTGTGAACTTGCTCTTCACCAGGAAGCCCAGCCCAACTCGGGCCTGCTGCAGGCCTCGGTGGTCACACTCTACACCATGTTTGTCACTTGGTCGGCCCTGTCCAATATCCCAGGTCAGTACAGCGTCCCAGGGCTCTTAGAGGCCTGGCCTTCTTCCTGGGCTGGTCAAGCGACAGAGATGCTCAGCTTCAGCTCATTTTGATATTCAGTCCTTCAGGGAAAGGGGGAAATCCCTTATGTTTCTGGAATTCTCTTGGGAACCGCTGGCCAATTGTCCGTCTGTCCTTTTGGGCTGACTTTCTGTCCGTCTCTAGCTGGTTGCTCAGACCTGGCCTGCCTGGGCTGAGGGTGACTGTGCTCCTATCCCCAGACCAGAAATGCAACCCCCATTTGCTGACCCATTTTGGCAACGAGACGGTCCTGGCAGGCCCCGATGGTTATGTGACCCAGTGGTGGGATGCACCAAGCATCGTGGGGCTCATCATCTTCATCCTGTGCACGCTCTTCATCAGGTACGGTGGCAGGAGTCGAGGTCTGGTCTTGAGAGGGGGGCAGATTGTGACCAGAGGCTCAGAGCCAGAAGGGAGGGAGGACATGGAGCCCAGATGTCAAGCTGGAAGGGGTCTTCAGCCAGTAACACATCCAGTGTGCACACTGTGCTGGTGGGAAACTGGAGACCCTCAGGGAGCATGCTGGGAGTGGGAAGCAGAGGGAACTAGAACCCAAGACCCTGCCTCCTGGCCCCGAATCCTGGCTGTGTGTTCCAAAGTTAGTCAGGAACGAGCAGCTGTGGGGTCAGGGAACATGCCGGGCTGTGAAAGGTCACTGCTGTGTGATCTAGGGCAAGTGGCTTGACTTCTCTGCACTTTAGATTCCTTTCTGGTAAAGAAGGACAATAACCTCCACTTCCCAGGGTGGCTGTGACAGCATAAGCTCACTTGAAAAATGACAGCCTTGCACTTCAGATCACTCGGTAATTCACTCGTAAAGGAAAACTAGTAGATGGTTATTGTGGAAGCAGGTTACCTGTGTTTGAACCTGGCAATTGCTAGCTGCGTCATCTTGGGAAAGTCACCTAAGGGGGGGAAAGTGTCTCAGTTTTCCTATCTGTAAAATGGGGATAGAAACAGTAACTACCTCATTGTGTTGTTGGAAGGTTAGAGATGAGTTCATGTGCACAGCACTTTAAAAGGACTGTGGCAAGTAAAACACCTCATTGCTGTCCAGTCAGAACTGCGCAGGAGGAGACGCCAGTGTTTATCCCTTGGAGCCTCTGGTGGATTTGAAACTCCAGAGACACTCAGCTTTTGTGTTGATCACAAGGAGGCACCTAGTCGCCCTGCTTTCTTGTGGCTCCACTGGCCTGGCAACAACCCAGGCTCTCCTCGCATCAAGCTCCTGCCAGGGTTTACTGTGGCTCTTCTGAGTCTCCCAGTTAGGGCTTTGGCCTGTAATCCTTCCCATTCTGGTTATTGTTCTGCTTCACACAGGCAGTGCATCTCCTTAGACACTAGGCCACCAGAGCTCCCCCTACCATGGTAAACAGCAGGTGCTATGTAAATGTTTGCTCTTATTTCAAGTTGCTGTGAACATTTATACAACTGAGTAGTGTGAGTCCTAGATGTGTAAGGGTCATTAGACCATATTAAGTATAATTATTGTTTACCAATACTTCAAGTGCCACTTTCTTACTCTCCCCTTGACACTCCGAGGGAGGGAATCTGCCGCGCACCTGTGTTCTCACCAGACTCTACCTTGAGGAGTACTTCAGTCCTAAGAGCAGCACACCTGTCTCTGGTCTCCTGATCTAGAATGTTTTGAGGCTGTTTCACATTTTGTTTTGTTTTATATTAGCCTTTATCAAAACATTTTCTCCAGATTAAGCCTGCCTAGTTCATAAACACCTCTCTTCTTTGCCACCTCATTTGATTCCATCTTCAACGTGGAAAGCCCTTTCTTAACTCCATTTTATAGATGAGGAAACTGAGACACAGGGAGAAAGAGCCACAAGCTGCTGATTCTGAGACCGTGAGCATTCAGTGACCCTGGAGCTTGAGCATACTTGTCCTGATCTCCACCTCTCTATACGCCATTTCTACCCTCAGTGCCATATCTGTGCTTCTTGTGTTCCTATACTCACACCTCCCATTCTCACACTGTGGCTACTGGGTAGAACTTTGAGAGCTCAAGGCTGCCTATTAGTTCTAGGTGTGGTTTTTAAAACTCAGGAAGCTGAGAAGCATAAGCAGCTCCATGAGAACAGAATCCATGGACCACATAGATCTGGGCTCAAATGCAGTAGATGTCAGCAGATATTTGGTGATTGAATGGAAGGGTGGTTTTGCTCGCTCTGCAGAGGGGCCAGCTGAAGTCAGCAAGACCTCTTGATGCAGTGAGTTTAGAATCCCTAGTCTCCTTTTCCTTTCTTTGAAATGTAAGGTATTTTTCTTCAAAATTTTATTTGTGTATGTTAGTATTAAACAGGGCTTGTGTGTGTGTGTGTGTGTGTGTGTGTGTGTGTATGAAGTGTGATTTTAATGAGCCAACTAGTCAGGACAGTGCAGGGCTGTGGGGCGGGAGGACAGAGAGCATCACCCTCCGGGCCCCACTCAGAAGGCAGCGATTAAACAGGGCTCTAAACCATTCTTGGTTTAGTCCTGGATGATAAAGCAAAACCAGAACAGATTTGAATTTGCAAAATGTGTGTGAACCAGAATAATAACCAAGACAGGAAAATGATCATGGGCTAAGGTCTGCTAGGAAGTCAGTCTCTTTCTTAGGAAATATGGCCAGGGTGCATGATGCATAGCTGTCAGATTTCTTGAACAGAGTCGGAGGTGATAGTGCCCTACACAAAGATGGGGCCTGGCAGCCCTGCTTTTTGTGCGTGTCATGCTCCACAGTCCTGGCAATACCCAGGCTCTTGCATCAAGCTCCTGCAAGGGTTTACTGTGGCTCTTCTAAGTCTCCCATTTCAGGGCTTTGGCCTATAATCTTTCCCATTCTGGTTACTGTTTTGCTTCACACATTTTTTCTTTTTTACTTGTTTAGCACCTTTTTTCCCCTTTTCTATTTTATACTAGTTTATTTACAAATTTCTAATACATTGTTTTGGAGAACAGATTCTTTCAATTCCCCTCACCTCCTCCCATCAAATGGTACACCACCATGATTCATCCCACCTCCCCCTGCACATCTTCATCCCTTGCAAAATGGGCAAAAGACATGGAAATAATTTTCACAGAGGAAGATATTCTAATGGCAAACAGACACATGAAGAAATGCTCCAAATCACTGACAATAAGAGAGATGCAAATCAAAACCACAATGAGGTACCATCTCATTCCAGTATCAGTGGCAGAGTTTAACAGGGCAGCAAGTAATAAGTGTTGGAGAGGATGTGGCAAGAAAGAAACTCTTATACATTGTTGGTGGGATTGTAAAATGGTGCAACTATTCTGGAAGGCAGTTTGGCACTTCCTCAAAAGCTGAACATAGAAATTCCATATGACTCAGCTGTTTCACTACTTGGAATGTACCCTGAGAAATGAGAACTGAGGCACAAATGGAGGTTTGTACACCAATGTTCATAGCAGCATTATGCACTATTGTAGAAACATGGAAACAGATCAAATGTCCAACCACTAACGAATGTATTGAGAAATTATGGTACATTCATACAATGGAATACTATGCAGTACACAGGAGCAATGATTTTGTAAATTATTACCTAACTTGCAAGGGACTGGAGAACATTATTCTGAGTCACTAACTCAGTCCCACAAGGATAAATATTGTAGAAAACCATTATTGTAGAATGAGTATAAGGATCCAAGAGGCATGGGAGAGGGTGGAAGCAGAAGGATGAGGATGTTCACACAAATTTTTGAAATTCACGTCTGTTTGATTTCATTTGACTGAAACCATCAGCCATGGTTGGACTGGTTCAAACTGGTTTGAAGCCCTGCTATTAAAACACTATAAAAACAGCAACAGCTTGTTACAAAAAGCAATGACATATAATCATCATTATTATTATTATTGTTATTATCACTTTTCATGTAAACATGAGGGGAGAGTAGATAATTGGCAAATGATCAAACAGGAAAACTTAACATGAGCATTATTCATTATAAGCATTATGAATTAATGAGTTCCTGGTAGGGAGCTTTGATGGCATAGTGCACACTATGTTGCATTGTTAACCTAAAGGTCAGCAGTTTGAATCCATGAGCTGCTCCTTGGGAAAAAGGGGATCAGTCTCCTCCCATAAGTATTTACATCCTCAGAATCCTGACAAGAGTCTCAGTGAATTGGAGGGGACTCCATGGCGAATCTGATAGGGTGATTGGCAGGAGTTGGAACTCAGAAAATAGTTATTGACTTGTCAAATAAACAGTCATATAATCAACAACAAGACTCAATGCATTGCCATAGAGTTGGAACCAATGAATAGGTCTGGTGGTTTTTTGGAGGCTGTAAATTGCATGGCAGGAGATAGCCCATCTTTCTCCCGTGGAGCTGTCAGTGGATTCACATCCTCCAAGAGGTGCCACTGTTGGGTTAACAGTCAGCTCTTCATGGACAATGCCACCAGATAATGTTATGTGCTGTCAAGTTCGAATCAGCTCATAGCTGGCCTCCAGTGAGTTTTCAGAGGCTATAATCCACAGGAGAGGAGATTGTCCATCTGCAGGGCAGCTGGTGGATTTAAACCTTGTACTTTGAGGTTGGCAGTACAACTCCTTACTCACTAGCCCATCAGAACTGCCCTTAATCACAGAATGTTATTGTTATGCTATTGAGTTGAAACTGACTTGTAGTTGATCCTCCAGTGGGTTTTCAGAGGCTCTAAATTACACAGGAGGAGATTGCTCATCTTTTCTCTTGGGGCAGCTGATGAATTGGAACCATGTACCTTTGGGTTGGCAGTACAACTCCTCAGCCACTAAGTGATCAGGGTCTCCCTTAATATAATGCCTTTGTTGGGGCAATTCTCAAACGATATCTCTGATATCACACGCAAGCAAGATCTTGCTGAAGAGTATCCAAAAGTGACTAGAACAATACATCAGCAGAGAACTTCTAGATGTACAGGCTGGATTTAGAAGAGGCTGTGGCACTAGGAACATAATAGCCAATGTTAGATGAATTTTGGCCGAAAGCAGAGAGTACCACAGGAATCTGTGTTTCAATGACTATGCAGAGGCATTTGACTGTGTAAATCACAATAGATTGTGGCTAATCTTGATGAGAATGGCAATCCAAAAACACTTGAGAGTGCTCATGTGAAACTTATACTTGGGCCAGGAAGCAGTAGTCAGAACAGAGCAGGTAAATACTGCATGGTTTTTAATATAATAGTGACCATTTACTTGGGTTTTACTCTGTTTCAGCATGATGCTATAGACTTTGCATGATTTATTCCATTTAATCCTCCTGACCTCTCTAAGAGAGAGACCTATTTTCCTGATTTTATAGATGAGAAGTCAGAGGATCAGAGTTTAAATGTGTTGCCCAAGGTCACATAGGGGATTGGGGCAGAGAGTTAGAACAGTTGATTTCTGGCTCGGATCTAACTTCCTGGTCACTGGCCCTCGAACTCTGGAACCACCCGCATCGAGTTATGTTATGACTGATGCCATAGTTCATAGTGACCCCTGGCCGCTGCCTGCCCACTCAGCTTAGACAGAAGCCTCCCTGACAGCCTGTCTGCCTCATGTCCCCACAGTGTGCGTTCCTCAGACCACCGGCAGGTGAACAGCCTGATGCAGACAGAGACGTGCCCGCCCATGCTGGATGCCACCCAGCAGCAGATGGTGGTCAGTGAGGGCCGGGCCTACGACAATGAACAGGACGGTGTCACCTACAGCTACTCCTTCTTTCACTTCTGCCTGGTCCTCGCCTCCCTGCACATCATGATGACACTCACCAACTGGTACAGGTGTGTGGTGTGTGCACACGGCAGGGTGGGCAAACCGGGGTGTGCAGGGTGGGTGTGCCCCACACTTCCTTTCTCCTGCCCATCGCGGGGTTTCTCCTGGTGCCTAAGCAAGGCTTGAGGGTGGGTGTCTCTCTAGGACCCTCCGTAAGGCAGGCTTACCTCACCCCTGCCCCAGTTTCCCTGTTCGTCTTTTATCCACTCAACTCTGGATCATTTACCAAGTGGAATAATGGTGGGGTCACAGGGTGTGGGCTGGGCCTGTGCAAGGGAGCAGAGGCTCAGGGATGCTGGCTGGGGTGATCGGGTCAGATTTAGGTTGGAAGGAGGTTGGAATTAGGAAGTGAGGTCAGGGTCAAAGTCACAAGATCAAAAAGAGAAGATATGAGGTCAAGGCTCAGCCTGGGTCTGGGCTCATATAAATTCATGAATTCCATCATTTGGTTAGAACTGGGGTTAGGAGGTCATAAAGCTTGGATTATAATGTCAAATTCAAGGGGTTTAGAACAAGATAACCAACCCAGGTGTAGTAGGGTTACAGGGTCAAGGGTCATAATTGTGGTCAGAAATACTAAAAATGGAGTCATAAGGTCAGGAGTTGGATTGGGATCTCATGATCAAAGATCAGACTAAAAATTCCAGGAGGTTACAGAATTGAGATAACAGGGCCAAGGTCTCATTGGGGTTGGGATTGAGGTCAGGAGTCAGTTTTGTATTACAAGGTCAAGAGCCGTGTTCAGGGTCCCAAGGCCAAGTGCTCGAGATGAGGATGAGGGCTACAGGTCTGTGTTGGGTGTCATCAGGTGATTTTGACTCTCAGAATGCTGTGGGCCACAGTGGAACTGCCCGAGGGGCAGCCTTAGCTGTGGTCTTTACAGGCCTAATTGCCAGATCTTTTTCTCTTACTGAGCTGCTAGGTGAGTTCAAACCGCCAATGTTTTAGTTAACAGCTGAGCACTTAAGTGTTGCAACACCAAGGTTATGGGGTAAGATGCAGAGTTGGAGTCGGAAGTATAGCTGTGGTCACAAGGTGAGGAGCCAGGACTGAGGTCACAAGATTCAAGGAGGCTCAGGGGGACAATGGTGTGTTTCAGACCTGGCGAGACCCTGAAGATGGTCAGCACGTGGACCGCTGTGTGGGTGAAGATCTGTGCCAGCTGGGCTGGGCTGCTCCTCTACCTGTGGACCCTGGTCGCCCCCGTCCTCCTGCCCGGCCGAGACTTCAGCTGAGGCCGCCAACCTGCACCCGCTTACCTGGGGCCTGGGCTTTCGGAGGCAGCCAGCCCTCTCCTCATTCCCTGTCTCCACCTCCAGGACTCCCCCCAGGCTGGGCCCCTCCACTCTTAGTGCCTTCAACATGAGGAGGACCAAGCTCATGCCTGAGCCGCCTTTCCTGCAGCCCCCAGACCCATGGAGCTGCCTCTTCCCCATGACCCCTGGTCCACACTCAGCCTTATGGAGAAAAGGGCCCCCTTGTTCTGAGACTCCCCAGGGGACAGGGTGAAGGAGAAGACTGCTCACAGTTTAGGGATCACTCACCATGATGGGTGTCCACCCTGAGGCCAAGGTACTCCGGACTACGTTCCCCAGGGATCCATCCCTCCTGGACACTGTGCCTTATTGAGTCTCTAAGACTGTCCAATAAACAAGCCCGTGTGTGTGCCTTCCCGTGCTTTGTGCCCCTCATCCCACAGCATGGAGCCCCGAGGTGCACCCTTCCCCTGGGGCCAGGCCAGTGTGGGGTCGGTGGACAGAGTGTCAGGGATGGAGAGCCTTGAAGGTCAGTCAGAGAAGCCTGGCCTCTGGGTCATGGGATAGAGCTATAGAGAAGTAGGGGTAGACCAGGATGCTGGAGAGGGGATCCTGAAGAAAGGGGGCACCAGACATGTCCATGTGAGGGGTGGAGAGGCCACAGTGCCCTTGGCTTGCACTCTAGTTCCTGTGGAGGATCTCATTACCCTCTTCCTGTCCGTCCCTCTCCCAATGGTAACGTGTACCTGCCCTGGACCAGGTGCCTGGGTCCGGGGTGGTGGGTACAGAAAAGGGTCCAGCCGGGGGTGACATGGGGAAGAGTGAGAGCTCAGGCATCATCTAAGCTGCCTTGATCCGGGCTCCAGCATGGAGCTGTGGCTATCCCAGCAGGTCCTCCCTGGGTCCAGCTTCCTCACTCATTGTACGGGAAAAACATCACTCACTTGAAGGCCATGGGGTGGGTGTGTGTGTGTGTCAAGTGAAGCAGCCAGTGCCAAGAGCCTGCCTGACCCAGCAGGTGCTCAATAAATAATGTCAGTTCCAACCTTGAAAAGCGTAGTGACATAAAGACAGATTCCTGGCCAGGGCTCTGGATGGGTTTGTATGTTGTGTTGGCAGCTGTGAACCATTTGTACTGTCTACTTGTGGGTATAACAGACATGTATTAACATACTAGGGGCTGTGTGGGTGCTAGGATGTGGTAGTGGGGACACTATTGTGAAGAGTGTGGGGTCTGTGGATGAAGTGTCAAGGATGGGGGATGCTGAAGGTCAGACAGAGAAGCTTCGCCTCTGGCCTCTGGGTCATGTGATTGGGGCTAATAGAGAAGTGGGGGAGGGTGCAGTGATGGAGGGAGCATGGGGGGCTGTGGTCATTAGGATGCGTCTGACACGGGCAGAAGTCAGGATGGGCATCCCAGAGTGACTGTCCTGACTCAGGAGGAGCAAAAATGCTCTGCACAGAGGAACAGCACATGGGCAAGAAGAGGTAGGGTTCACAGACCTGTGAGATGTGCAAGGTGCAGGGGTCTGAGAAGGAATGGTAGGCCCTGCTGAGATCAAACGTGGTCCTACAACAATAGGGAAGGCCTGGAAGGACTTTGAGCAGGTGATGCATTGACACTGATCATTGAATAGACTCTGGGGAACAACACAGAGCTGTGATGTGGCCAGATCTGTGCTTCAGGAACACTTTCTGAGGTGAAGTAGGTGGGACAGCTGGAGATGGGCCAGGTCTGTCCCACAGTGGACGGGATGGGGGCCTCAGGACACCTCACCTTGGGGTCAGATCTTGTAGATGCCCTTGCCCTTTGGAGCTTTTTAATATTTTTTTAGGTAAAGGAGATCCACTCCTCCATCCCTCAACACATGAGGCCTTAATCCACATTGTACTCCCTAGTACATTTCTTACAAGATGAAATTGACTTTCTTTTAGAATGTTTTAGGCTTAAGAGTTACCCTACTCCAATTTGGCTTTGTCTTAGTCGATGACCTGTTCAAAGGCCCTTTATCTAAACTAGGTCACATCCACACACAGTGGGCTTAGGACTTCAGTGTATGGTTTGGGGGTGGGGGTGGGGAGTGCAATTCAACTCGTAACTAGCTAAGGAGTTGCAGGTCCCCATTTAGAAGCCTTCCCTGATGCCCCAGAGTAAAGAACCTGTCCATGGTTTCCCCTCAGACATGTTCTTTCCTCCAGGCGGGCATCAGCCATCCTCTCCCTGGCAATCAGTGTGGTGGAGGTGGGGCCAGTGTCAGGTCTGACCCACTGCTCAGAGGGGCTGGGTGCTCCTTCATCTCCTGCTGCCTCAGCACCCTCACTTCCTCATATCCTTTATTCCCCAGCGCCATCCTCCCACCATCTCCTCTTGTTCACAATACCTTCCTTTCTGTCTCTTCTCTTCCCTTTGCCACTTCACTTCTTGGTCTTTGGACCAGGGCCCATGCTCCCCAGGTTTTCCTTTCTGACAGTCCCAGATAGGCTGCTTGTCTCTGCTGGCTTGTAACAGGGAAGAAGCTGTCCTCACCCTGAAGGCCCAACACACAGTGACTGTGGCTCTTCCTCTGTCTGTGGATACCTGCTCTCCTGTCCTCAGGTCAGGGCTGTTCTCACTGCAGGGAACCCAGAATGTCCCTGTCAGTTCACTGGCAACTTGACAGTGACACCCTGACAGAGATTCATCACTCCAGGAGAGGATCAGAGAGTCAATCCAGCTCAATTTTATTGGGATTTGCAGTGCATGTATATACATCCAATTAAACAGGAAGACAGGATAGGATGGGTTTACAGATGTGGGACATGTGGATTGGTTAGGAGAACCTCAGCCTGGTGTAGACCACTCTCGGCTCAACAGAAGCAGCAGCCATCTTCCCAGCTGGTGAGCTTTCTCAAGCCGGTACAGCCAAACACAGGGGAGCTTTCTCTACCCCGTGGAGGCTTGCACTTATCTGGAGCTTAGGTGATCTGTCCTGGCCACAGGACCTCCCTTCCTCCCCAACATTCTGCAACACCAGAACAGCCACAACCTTGCCAGCTCTGTAGCATCTTTGGAACTAGGGTGTGTAATGACAGGACAGAGCAGGTGCAAACCCAGAGACCAAGTAGGGGAATAGATGCAGTGTGGAGAGAGTTGTGGACTCGAGTTCACAGTTCTACCAGCATCGCAATCTCACTGTGTGATCTTAGGCATGCCACTTACACTTCCAAACCTCAGCTGCAGCTTCTGTACTATAAATGGCAACAATAATTGTTTTGTAAATGTTAAAGTATCATGCAGTGGACACTGGTTGACCAGGAGGCTGAACACCCTTCACCCTTATTTATCTCTATCACAGAGTCTTGAAAAATCAATTGGTTCCTTTGCAATTTCTCTGAGAGAACCAAGTGAAATGTACAATTGACAACAATCTAGTTAGAAATGCTAAGGAGTTTCTGCTTTCCTGTTATAAAGCACTGCACATCTCACTGTTTCCTATTTGGACAGAAACGCGATGCCTGGAGCTTCAGCAGTCATCTTGCAACAATGAGGCAGTAAACATGAGGAAAAGAAATCAACATGAGGAGGGTGTTAGTACAGAAAAGTAGAAAAAAACCTAGGTCCCTGACGAGCCTCTGAGCTGCTGCATCATCTCTATAGTGCAGATTCCAGCTTCTGTGACCCCAGAACAAATTCTAATACATTTAAGCCACTGTTAATTGGCGGCTATTACATTTGTTACAGCTGAATGCATTTTTAACTGATACAACATGAGAAAGGGCCATTAATTTTAGTGATAATAAAAATAACAGACAAGAAAACAAATAAAAAAACCCACAGACAATAGAAACTTGTTCCATTTTCAAGACTATTGGGTTAATAGTGTAACATGTTGGACAAAAGATGTGTATACAAATATATATATATATATAATATATACACACATCCATATATATGCAAAATATGTAAATGTGTGCATATTCATATAGTGGACACAGCACAAAGGAAACAGAAGATTTCACAATTTGCAAAAACATATAACATGTCTACTTGTGTAATATATGCTATATAATATACATATATGTATAGTAATAACAGGAGAAGTATGACAAGATACTTTTTTTACAAGATACTTTTAAAAAATTATACTGGTTTACATATGAAGCTCATAAACATTGTTTTTCACAAGCTACTTTTTTTGAGACATTGATTGACTCTGCTATATATAGGGGAGAAGGTTCTGGGCTGCCTTGTCTTCTAAGAGGTTTGTGGATGGCTGGAAAACATGAGACAGATTGCCTTCGAAGTAGACTTGTTCTTTGATTTCTCAGTGAAATGTGTATATTGATATATACTTTTCACACCCTAATTCATTGTGGTTGAGTCAGAACCGACTCATAACTGACCCACCAGTGGGTTTTCAGAGGCACGAAAAAAGGGTTGCACATCTTTCTTTTTTGGAGCGGCTGGTGGATTTGAACAGTCAGAGAGATACTGCTTTTGTGTTAGCACAACTCTCAATGGACTATGCCAAACTGAAGGGTGGGCATCAGGCCTTACATGATGGAATCTAGGTTGTCTTCAGTGCTTTTTGTGACCATAATAAGCATCCACTGTTTATTCTGGCATCTTGCTGGTTTTCAGAAGAAAACCTAAAGACTCCAGAGCAAGACAGCTGAGCTCTCATGTCACCTTTGCTTTAACTTGTCTGGATCTCTCAGTCTCCTTGTCTACAGGGTAGTGACCACAGCAAGAACCCACCCCATTGGCTGCCACCAAGGTCAGCAAGAACAATGTTTATCAAGGGCCTTGAACTCTGCTGGCTACGGTACAGGACAAAAAAAACATGGCTCATTCATTTTCTGGCTGTTAGTCCTTAAGGTCTGAGAAAGAAGGCTAGACCAATGACCATCGCTCTGGCTTTAAAGACGACTGTCCTTTGCCTGTGTGGAGGTGGCATGGAGGACAGGTGGCAGGAAGTAGGAGAAACAATAACAGGAAC